ACTATCACGGTGCGTCAAGCGCCATGGCTTGGAAGGCTGCTGACTGACGCCCAAACTCAGCCCAAGCAGTCTGCCTAGTTATGTGTGTGTCTGTTTGGACTGGCGGACTGATGAGCTGAGAGCCAGGCCGAAGTGGCTTCTTCTTAATGTGATCCACGGTACTCTCGCGCATTTGAGATGCATGCCCCGTTGTGTGAAATACTGGTGCTTGCAGACAAGGTCACTTCATATGTCAGTCATCGCGCCCATTTTCCACACCTGTCAACTGACCGGCTCGGACAGTGGCTGGGGTCTGGGAATGGGAAGGGAGAATGAGATCGACCGCTCAGCGCACTTTCCTCACTGCAAACGATCCGACGCCCTCGAGGCTAAAACGGTGCGCTAAGCGCCGTGGCTTGGAAGTTCGCCAACTGACGGGATAACTTGGACCTCACAGTCGGCCCAGTGTTGTGCTTCTGTGGAACAACCGGCCGGTGGTCTAAGTGTCAGGCTGCAATGGCTCCTTCTTAATGTGGCCTCTGTGGCACTCCCACTCCGTGGGTTCCAAGATAGGTATGGCGGCACGCATAGGGGGCGGCTTCGGCCGCGCCAACCCCTTTTGCTGTTGGTCAAAATCCTGGTCATTTGCTGCGTGGACCAGGGGGTGTTGAGTAAAGCGTCAAGGTGCGGGCTCGACCGCGCCATCCACCTGCGCCCTCCCTCGCCTCCGGTCTTCTTGACTCTGTTTTGACACCGGATCCAGGTGGGGGCAGAAGAGTGGGTGCGGTAGATGCTGTGCAATTTTATTATCACTATAAACTAAATCACGCGCGTCACCGTGCCTGCTCTCAGCTCGCTGTGGAACACACGGTGGACGTCGTCGACGACGACGGTCGAACACTTGGTGGTGGTGGTGGTGGTGGTGGTGGTGGTGGTGGTGGTGGTGGTGGTGGTGATCTGAACAGACGGTAGTTTCTCACTCCAAACACAACTATTTGATTCATATTGACCCAACTGTGAAAAACTCGGCGCCTCGGTGGGATTCGAACCCACGCTGTAAGGGGAAGGCTTTATTACAGCCAACGCTCTAACCACTTGAGCTACGAGGTATAAATGCGAGAAGGTAGGAGCTGTCTTCTGACTTTGCTCAACTGTAACATCTGTCGGTCAGTTCCAGAATTGCGTTTTGAGTGGACCTACTTAGTGCCGCACTCTCGGCCCATCGGCCTCTGATAGTGAACAGTACGACTACTTTGAAACCTTAGACATTTAATACGCATATTTCGGTGAATGTTAGTTCCCGCGCACTTAATATCAGGCCCAAAGGGCATGAACCTTAATGGAGCGTCGCAAATGAGTGGAAAGATCTTCACTGAAAAACCACCGCGTATAGATTTACGTCAAGCCACGTTAGCACATTTGCCCGCTCCAAAAACACGCCAAAAACACTCTGAAAAGCACTGCTTGTCTTCAAACTGCGCCCCTGTTGCATGGCCTTCATGTCATCCGATTGTATGCCCGAGGTAAGTGATGCACCCAGCGTACACGCACGAGCACACAGCGCGCAGACACTGTGATGTTCAAGGTCACTCAAGAAAGTGCGAGCCAGTCGGGCAAGTAAACAACAGCGATTTGCCTGGAGAGAAGAAAGTCTATCAGACAGTGTAGCAAGAGCTGAGTTACCCTCGAGTAGACGCAAGGAATTGGGAGGGCGGATGGAAACTGGTGAGACAAATCCATTCCGAGCACCTGTCATTCATTTGCGTGTAAGTTACAGCCCGCGGTAGGCGAAATGTACTTACACAGTGCAGAGGTTGGGGGTGGAAAGCACGTGAGCCCCCCTTTCGAAAGTGGTGCAAAAACAGTCAGTTGCAAACGTAGTCATGACATTTAAGTCGGAGCTGAATCATAGGAGAGACGTTCAACGTGGTCTCTGAGGGCGAGAGGGCACGTAGAGGCCGTCACATGTGGACAGAGACCCCAAGGGAACCTGTCATTTACCAAAGACACCAGAGCTTAAAATGGACGGACTGAAGGAAACAAGCCTTGCAAGATGACACAATCAGGAGACTAGCGAGGGACAGTCAACGGATACCTCGCCTTTCCTTACCCACCACCAAAAAACAGGGGGACGTCCCGCGGCGGACAGTACGAGACTAACTTGACGCGCATTTATTCTTTCCCTTGTTTTTTGTGGACCAAGCTTCGTGGGTCGAACGAGTCCAGGCTTGTCGAAAATGAGAAGGGAAGGGCTAACTGAAGAACAGCAAAACAGCTCGACCCTTGCACACCGGCATCCCCTGAGAAGCCGAATAACCAGAAGTTATCATGAGAGGGCTTGCTGGCAGCAACAGAGGCTACGACAATTCAAGTACTTCAGCCGGTCTTGTGCGCACAAGTTCTCGACGAATGAAAACGAGAGGGAAGTCATCAGGTCCAGTCAGCTGAAGGTATCCGACCCCGCTTAATTGCATAATGAGAGACGTTGAATTGTTGGACATTCCTTGATAGACAGCGAACTGGTTGTCAGCGAAAGCTTGCTGTGAAATGAACAGTAGAGGCGGTAGCGGCTGGGCATTGATCTGACCGATCGATTATTTATATAAAGGTCACAAGTCATAATAGTATTATAATACTGTGAGTACTTCTTCTCAGTCAATAAGGCACCGTCCATGAACCCTGAACTGGTGTGTCAGAAGGCGTAAAATGGAGTGCGCGCCTTTGAATCACGAGACTAGGGGCGGGCATCCCTGGACGAAATCACCCCCGTACAATCTCTGTCCGGTGGCCCATGACTTAACCGGGGGGTCTTGTATGGTCGCTGAACTACGTTCTGTGCTCCAGAGGAAGTCATTTTCTGTCAAAAAAACAACCGCTATCTTACGTTGAGATAGAAAACCCAAGCGGCTCAGGTTCATTGGCACTTTATTGCGCCTCGAAGTTAAGGCGTACCTATTAGAAATCGAATCCGTGTCGAGTTCTACCCTCCGAAGAGTTGCACTGGTATCGAATTCGGAAATGTTCGCCTGTTTGGATTCGTATCGAACTCGATTAACAATCAAAGCTCGAACATTTACTGCATGGGCACACGAAAGGATTCCAAGGCCGACCTTGAAGTGATTTGTCGGTCGAGTTACGACTTGCACTTAACTGCTATTGAGGATTGGGTACACACGTTCGACATGCTGTATCCTAGTACTTGTACTTGATACGGCTGCGATCATGTCTGATCTAGCCGGCCTCGATGATGTCCCGAACTGTACCTCTCCACGCGTGACGATCCGCAGCAGCAGATTTAGACAGCTCAACCCATTCCCTTCGCCAACGACGGAGACCGAATACCGAAGGTCCAAGAGCCACCTCCATGTCTTGACGGACAGTGTCGAGCCAGGTTTTGGACTGACCCCCTCTTCGACGCCTCCAATGGGGCAACAGTGCCGGATCGAGGGCAGCAACACTGAGCTGTATCCTAGTCGTACGATCTTGTGCGAATTTATGGAGTGGGCCCCGCTCCCCCAAATATTAGAATCCCCAAGTCACTACCAGTCGCTGGCGGCCTTAGTAATAACACGGGTGCTTGGTGAATGCCACGGAGCGTAGAGAAACACGTGCATCCAACATGACTCACGTGTAGGATGGAATGTAGGCACTGTCGTCTCAAAAACTCGCTCTGCGCAGCAGTGCGGTGACAAGCATTCAATAACTAGAAGGGATTATCGGCGAACGTCATTGCAGATCGCCGACCAACATAACGTGAACGCGTGACTCACGTGACTCGGTCAAAATACCTGCGTAGCAATACACAGGCAGTTTGGTAAAAAAAAAGGTAAGGACAAGAGAACGCCGTACGCATGGGGAAGGAAATAAAACTAACGAAATTTGCGCAAAGCATCCACCATCGGCTTCGACTAGCTTCATGCGGCATGTACAGGAGCGTTTGTCCATCGAAATTGATAAGAACCGCTACTGACCCCGATAAGGCGCAGAGGAGACTTGTGCATGGACTAGGCGCAGCATCTACCTTACTTCATTCTTCCCCCCTCCACCCCGTTCCGATGACAATATAAAGTGAAAATGACAGGATATTTTAGTGGGCGCATTAGCTGACAAAATAAAACAACCCGCCTGTGCGTGTCACGCACGGTCTACTCACTAACTCTGTAAGTAGCAAGCTTTTAGTAAAGACGCGGTCCTGGATTTTTCATGAGTGGGGGGTGCCACAAAGGCCTGGCTCTTGTTCCAAAGCAGGACCAACTAATCCCGTCAGTTGTCAACCTTCCAAGTCTTAACTTTTGGCGCCGTTGGGTAAACTATGAATGTTCAATAGGGACGGATTTCTGTAACAGTGGAGAGCTTAATTCATTCTCTCCTCCAGCGACGGAGATCGAACGTCAAAGGTCTTGACTAACTGTGTAAAGATAGGTTTTGAGTTTAACTCCTTGTGGACGCTTCTAGGTGGATAACGGCGCCTGAACAAGGGCAGCAACACTGAGCTCATGCGGGGGACGACGAAGGACGTGTCGCATCGAGTGCGAACTGTCCCATTTGAGACGAGGTCGGTGAAGACGTCAGTCTATGGGGCAGTTGAGAAACCCCTTGGATACACCCAGCGACGCCGCAATGACTGGATCAGAGGAAGAACCCTGTAGTTGTCTGCTCAGACGACTCGAGCCAGTTCCCGTAACGATGACTGCTTCCGCCAACTTCGGAAGATGACGGTAAAATCGGCCAGGGATGGCCGGAAGCAATATTGGGCTGAAATAGCGACCCCCCATGGAACAGGTCTCGAACGTTGGTGACACTCGAAAACTCTACTAACTGATCCGCCAAGTTAGCGATAAGCCCTCTACACTGAGTGACTCTGTTCGCGATGTGAACGGCGGCTTTATTGCTGACAACTCGGCCAAAGTCGAGCGCTGGCGTGAGCACTTTGAGCACCATCTCAACTTCGATACCCAACCTACCTCGCCCTTGCTCTCCTCTTCAGCGGGGTTTCTTCCCTTTCCTACCTATGCAGTGCCATGCGACCCCCCTCTGAAGTAGAAGTCGTCGATGCCATACGAAAGTTGCGCAACAATAAGGCACCCGGAGAGGACGGTATACCCGCTGAAATCTTCAAGTCTTGTGTCGACACTCTGGCGCCCTGGCTCCATGAGGTGATTGAACGAGCGTGGAGAGACGAGGTTGTTCCTGATGACTGGGGCTTAGGCATCCTTGTACCTATCCTCAAGAAGGGAGATAAGACGAGATGCGAGAACTACCGCGGCATAAGTCTCATCGGCGTTGCTGCGAAGATCTTTGCTATCATCCTACTCAGGCGATTCCAGGCTGTGTGGGAATCAAGGACGAGGTCCAACCAAGCCGGATTTCGTGCTGGACGTGGATGCGCAGACCAGATATTCACACTGAGGCGCATTCTCGAATTTCGCCATAGCTACCAACAACCGACGGCCGTCTGCTTCATTAACTTTGCCGCCGCGTTCGATTCCGTTCATCGGCTAGATCAGGCATGATCGCAGCCGTAGCAAGTACAAGTAAGTAAAATGGCTGGTACCGCAAAACGGCCCGTCCGCTTCTACATAAACAAGAACTAATAGCACTCTGATCTCTCACCGAAGAGAGTTGTGGAGAAGACCAAATCAAGAAGCCAGTGTAAGCTAAACCTTAGCTCGGAGGACCTGGTCAAACCGTCAGAGGGCAGCTATCTTAGCGCGTAGTGAAAGGTTGGTGTCTAAACTACAGATTGGACTGGATATAGCGGCTGACTGGCACGAAGTTGCTTCTAACACGCGCCACAAATTGAAAATTCCGCTTAGGTTCGCGCGACAGTTCAGCTCGCTTTGAGACCCCTCAAAGGTACACACAGGCACACGTTAGTTAATCTGCTGTAAGAGAGGATGATCACCACTTTTGTGTACACAGTGGTGACTTGCGTGTTGTCTAGCTTTCGGTGAAGAAGACGTGACACCATGTGCTCCGCTGTCGGTTTCTACGTCTACTCTGTTCTGATGGCAAGACAAAGTCAAGACAATCGAAGATGGGCGTGGGCGAATTCGTGGACAAGGCTTTGTCTATGTTCACACGTTTCACACACGATGGTTCCCAAAGCACACAACTAGAACTTCAAAAGGGACTAGAACCTCTCATTGAAGCGATTCGCTCAAACAACCGCATCAAGAAGAAGGTTCTACAGTCCGACCCTTATTCTGGAGAAGGAAGGAAGTAAGTTTCCAGTCGACAGCCCCTGATGTCATTGTTTTTGACCTGGTTGTACTTAAAACCACGTCAGATTTACCACAATGCTGAATATAGGTGCTGGACCCAGGCTGGAAGGAACCTACTCTCTGCCCACCCCCCCCCCGTGCTCGCATATGTTAGCGGGAAGCCCGATGGTAAGGCGTGACGCACGCACGTCAAACACAAGGATTCAGCTTATTTTAAGGGATCGAAAGCGCATGCCTAGATCGCAAACAATATATTGACTTGACAAGCGACAATGGGCGGTCCGCACATGTTACCGTCATTTTTAACCAAAACAGTGTCGCTTGGCGTGCGCAAGGATACAGGCAGTATCTGGGGGATGATGACCAACATTTTCTCGACAAATTGTCCGTTTAGGTTCATAAACGAGAAAAATTTAGAAGTCAGTAGTTTGAAAACGCCCATTATAAGATTGGGAAACGTGTCAAGAATCTTCGTTCCTGTTCATTTGTCGTAAGGATAGGCAGGTGGTAACTGTAAATTCCACCCCACAGTTCTCAAGTGAATTCTAAATTTCGAAGAGAACAGTGTAAGTCCCTCGCAAATGACAGGAATCGAAATGACACGGAATTATAGGAAACGTTTTAACTTCGCTCAGCCCCCCAGAAAGACAACGCGTTTTATAAAGCGACATATGACTAGTATCGGTGGCCTTCTCTGACACAATAAATCTGATGTTTCCAGTGATAAGTGTCAAGTGGGATGCTTGGTTAGCCCATACACAGCGAGAAAAATCAAATGATGGGATTCACAGAGGGAGACGAACATCTTTGAGACAGCAGCGTATCGCCAGGAAAAATACATGTAAACGTTAAGAATTGCCAACATTGCTGAGTCGGTCTTTTAGGTTTACACGCAAAAAGGGTTAAAACGTAATAAAGCGGCTGGGTTCCATGACAGATGACCAAAAAAGTAGTCCAGCCCAGAAAAGCGACTAAGTGGATCAGTGTGCTTCCGGTAATTAATACCAAAGCGATTTGTCGAAAATGAACAAATAAACTATTACATAATGGAATGACCAGGCCTTCATTTCGAAATCAGATCTTCGAAAACGAGTTCAACCAACCTTAACTTGAAACACCAACAACGAGGACAACAAGTTACCATTTCATCGGCAGCGCTCAGGCAATCATCTGTAAAAAACCTCATCTCGATACAGTAGAACAAGATAATGTTCCGAGCATCACAGTGCTCACTGAGGACCAGCAATGGTTTGTTTCTTACATCATATAAGTGGCCTTTATGTTTTCGTTACCCTGATTCGAGTACAAGCTGAGCGTCACGACGATGATATTCGTTGATTTGACCTTATTGCAGGTAGGCCTAAACAGGTCTCTCAAGTTCCTGCGCACCTTATAGGTTCCGACGTTTGTAATAAAAGTGTTTTGACTGCCTACAAGATAGTTAAATTCAGTTTCCTCTCATAATCGGACAGCTACTTCAGTTTTAATGGAAGAATGGCCAGAGAAATTAGTGGCCGATGGAGACCTCTAATGGCACACGAATCGAGTCGCGATGCTCGTGTCCCAGTCGAAGTCGACTTGTGATTGGGTGACTGCGGTCATTGCAGCAAGTTCCCCAGGGGTGAACTCCAATTAGCGTACGCTGATTAACTGTTGATTATTATTTGTATGACGGCGTGCTTGCGTTCGCGCGTGCGCACCTGGGCGTCATTACCTGCCTTCCCACGCCGCCACGTCCAGGCATTCCTGCTCTGTGTTAATCCTCTTTGGCTTGACTGTATTATTGAGTGGTTTATGTTTTCTTTTTGATGTTTCCAGGCCAGTATCACGAAGAACTCATCGTAGGTGTATGCAACAAGAGATCAGAAATATGTTACGCGAAACAACCGAGAATTTGAAGGGAAAATATCCGTCCCACTCGTCATCATCATCTTCGTCGAGGGTTTTGTCCAGTAGCAGTCAGTCAGCAGACACCAGTACGCCCTCCTCTGATGATGAATCTGTCTTGATGACTGTGCCATTGCACGGTGAGTCAGGAGACTCTCCTACAGTCTTATCAACTGAAGAGGAGTCAATTGTACATGACGAACAGCGACCTTAACTGTGTGCTCACAAATACCGCACATACGCCTAACAAGCCTGCTAAAGATTGTGAGACGAATAACGTCGGCGGATTAGCTGAGATGTCTTTAGACGCATGAACACTTCTGGGTGGAGCAAGTGATCTCCCACTGGTAACGGAATTGGGTAGCGGTAACTATGTTCGCTTAGGACTTGTAAAGCAGTTGACTGAGCAGATACGCATTTTTTCCATGCACATATTGGGTGATGAGGTAGTAGCTTTCGTAGCAACTAACGATCCTCCTATTTATAAGAAGAATAAGAGAGAAAGTTTTGGCCAATTTAGTCAGAATTATGCACTCGTTCGTTAGTGGTACATTTGCAGTATGAATTTATTACGGCCATGGCAAGCATTTGGGCGCGCAGTCATTTTGCAGGCCTCTAGTAGAGGAGTTATTAACCCTGGCTAGGTGTGATCTGCGTGCCCATGTAATAAAAAGAACGCTGCTGTTCCGTCTGGCAGCTATAATCTGTGAAGCTCCTGCTAAGGCTTTCATCAAGCAGATTAGGAATGGTTGCGGAAGGTGCTGTGGAAGGAAGGAATACCTAGGCATGGTAGTTTATGAAAGTGGTTCTGAGCGCGCAAGGGTGGGTCAGGACTTCTTATCCGCCGTTGATGACTTCCACCAGATTGGATTTTCACCTCTGCTGGCCTGTAACCTAGGAATAAATAGCTCTTATCCTCCAGACCCAGTATATTCAGGATCAAGCCGCTGGTTTTATTGGAAGATAAGTGGAAGATATTATTTAAAATGACTTTTCTAAGATAGAGAAAGACTTTTACCCCTTCATTTTTGAGTAAAGTTCGTTCAATACAGATCCTCGATCTGCATGGCCAGTTGGAGTTGCGGTTGATTTTCTGAAGTCGTTTGGATTTAGCCATAAAATAGCGAATGCCAAACGCTGTCTTTCCTTAGAAAAATATCCGCCCGTTTTAGTCAAGTTGTCTTTGCCAATTGAGGTTGATTCAATCTTAGCCTACCGAGATCATGTTTCTGCGTACCTTAAAAAAGCGAAATTCTTTCACTTATCATGATCTTACCCCGATGAAGCGTAGAATTGGATCCCTATTCCCATATACTTCCTCGTGTTCTCAGTCGAAAGCCCTCTAATTCGGTCATATTACAAGTAACCGTGAGAATTCAGTTAATCGTTCTCCTGCGGAATCCGTCTCACTACTCCCTCTTACTCCGGAATCTTTATCCTACTCAAGCTACTTATCGCGCTTGCCTGCCTCAAATTATCATCAGCCCCGGTTTTCGTCCCTAATTTGCTTGGCAGCTCTCCTTGGATGCACGAAAATCTGTCTGCGTCAGCTGGACCGATAGCTTCCTCCCTTAAATGGGATCCTCCGACCTCTCCATTAAAGTCACCTGTGACATTGTGTCAGAATGATGCAATCCAAAAACTGAATACGAATCTGACCCAGAAGAAAGGTTGCATGACTCCATTCCGTGGCACGACGCCTTATCTTAGATCTACCATGCCTTTACAGCCGAACTCGTCTACAAATACCGTAGTCCCAATTATACCCCAAAAATTATCTGTTCCGCATGCCAGCTACTTATCAAAGCCCTTTTATCTGTCCTGTAAATAGTCGTAATGTAAATCGCCTTGACTCGTTTACTCCCCAACCTAGTTCAAGCTTCCAACCACTTAAGGCCATCTGTTCTCACGTAAGTCGACCTAACTACTTTGATTTCCATCCTAAACCTGATTTCCCACTTTTTAATTCTTATAGCTGCCTACCCTCCCCGCTAGTCTCTACCTTTCTTCTAGGTTCCCTCCTTCTCCTCTCCAAGTTAACTACCCACAAACCTATCCCTGTTCTAACTCGCTTAGTTGTTCAGCGTCTGGAAACTATCTTCTTACATAGTTTGGACCTGCCATTCAGTCTTTTCTTGTTGACACCCATATGTCGAAAATTCTGACCTTACTTGTACTTCTTCCCCAAATAACAATAATTTGCAGCTTACATATCCACCTCCAATTTTTTTTCTAAATACCGTCGACAATAGCCATACTGATCAAAATACATTGAATATTGAATTATTAAACGCCAGGTCTGTTATAAACAAGATGACCCAAATCAAGGCCATTGTTCCGGAAATGACTCCCGATATTATATAATAACAGAATCGGGGACCCAATCTCTTATCCCTGACTCT